GCCACTGGCGCCACCCCTTAACTTTTTTTTTTAAAATAAGTTACTTGGCTCAGTATTTCACACATTTTAAATTCATTTCAATAGCTTTACAACAAAGGCAACAATGCAGAAGTGCAAAGGTTAACAGATCAAATAGGCTTCAAAATCAACTGATGGAGCATCTCCAAGATTAATGAGAAACATCGTATACTTTGTGAAACCCATTCTATTCCTCATTCATCTAACTATAGCAGCAGGTCAAGATTTAGAGTTGGTGGCTCTTTCTCACCTATTGTCTTTTTGTCTTTTAAGATCATCCAGCTGACCTTGCAGGAGCCAGTTTTTCTCTCGTAACTGCTGAGATTCCAGGCGTAGGTTTTCCATTTCACACAACTGCTCCTAATAACATACCAAATCATGTCTTTTCAAAAACCATATTATAAAGATTTATGACTTAATTTAGACTACAAAAGTAAATACAGCAATAATAAACATAAATGAATGGGACTTAATTTAACTAAAAAGATTCTACACAACAAAGGAATAATCAACAGAGTAAATTAGATAACCTACAGAATGGGAGAAAATATTCATAAACTATACATCCTACAAAGGACTAATATCCAGAATCTACAAAGAACTCAAACACATCAGCAAGAAAAACACAAATAACCCTATCAAAAGCAGGCAAAAAGCATCTTGCGAGGGTAGAATGTGACATTTACTAGGTGTAGAATATAAAAAAAAGTCTTAACACAATAACTAAGAAAATGCCATGAAGGCTATGTTGACCAGTTTGATGAAAGCATTTCAGATTGGGTATAAAACTAGCACATTGTACCCCACGATTGCATTAATGTACACAGCTATGACTTAATAAAAAAAAAAGTGGGCAAAAAATATGAACAAATTTTTCTCAAAAGAAATAGAGACATGGCCAATAAATATATAAAAATATGCTTAGCATCATTAATCATCAGGGAAATGCAAATTAAAACCACAATGAGATACTACCTTACCCCTGTCAGAATGGACATTATTAAAAAGGCAAAAAGCAATAGATGCTGCAGATGCAGGGGAAAGGTACGCGATACACTGCTGGCAGGACAGTAAACTAGTATAACCTCTACGAAAAACAGTTTGGAGATTCCTCAAAGAACTAAAAGTAGACTTCTTATTTGATCCAGTAATCACACTACTGGGTATCTACCCAAAGGAAAAGAAGTCATTTTACAACAAACACACTTGCACCTGAATGTTTATCACAGCAGATTCACAATTGCAAAGATATGGAATCAACCTAAGTGCCCATCAACTGATGAATGGATAAATGTACACAAGTACTACTCAGCCACAAAGTTACTCAGTAACTTTTGCAGCAACTGGTATAGAACTGGAAACTACAATCCTAAGTGAAGTATCTCAGGAATAGAAAAGCCAATACCTCATGTTCTGACTTACAAATGCGAGCTAAATAAGGGGTATATAAAGTGGTATTAGGGGTCATAAAATGGTATGACAGACATTACAAACTAAAAAGATGGGAAGAGTGAGAGTGGGGTAAAGGACAAAAAAAAATTACCTATCAGGTACAATGTTCTCTGGAATCAGAGACAGGTACCCTAAAAGCCCTGACTTCAGCACGATACAATTCATCCACATAACAAAAAACACTTGAGTTCCTGAATCTAGTGAAATAATAAAACAAGACAGCACAAAACAATAAAACACATTATAGTAGGTATAATTTAGTTCCCCAAGGCCATGACCAAGATGGGTATTATTCTCTTAAGCTCTTACACAGAACACTGCCCTGGGTATTGTTGATGAAAGTAGACTGTGATGAGCTCTTGGAGGCCTAGAACTGTGATTCATGACCATATTCATAGTGTCTCATAGCTTAAAATTCCTTTATAAGAAAAGACGTCAGGCAGCGCCTGTGGCTCAGTGAGTAGAGCACCCCATATACCGAGGGTGGCGGGTTCGAACCCAACCCTGGCCAAACTGCAACAAAAAAATGGCCTGGCGTGGTGATGCCTGTGGCTCACCGGGAGTGGCCCCATATACTGGAGGTGGTGGGTTCAAACCTGGCCCTGGCTAAAAACTGCAAAAATGATGACAAAAAAAAAAAAAAGCCAGGCGTTGTGGCGG